ACAGAATCCGTTGTACCTATCAGAAAACTGAAGATTAAATTCCTTCCAAAATTATTGAAGTTGATCCTGTGACAAAATGTGAGTTCCAGCAGAACTGTCTACCCTCAATGAAAATGGGTGTGGTAGTCTGAAGGAGAAGTCCTCCAATAAGCGGAAACCACAAGTAAGTATTGGGGCCAAAAGGAGAAAAGGCAGAAGTTAGATCGGAAAATGTCTCTGCAGTGTGTCTCCATTCTTAAGAGTCTGATGTCTCATCCATATAGCTGGTTTTTAGTAAGCCAGTGGATCCTGTAGCATTGAACATACCAGATTATTTCACAATCATATCTGAACCCATGGATTTAGGCACAATAAAAACGAAGCTGGAGAAACATGTGTACTATGGCATTGAGGAATTTGCTGCTGATGTCAGGCTGACCTTTTGAATGCTATGACGTATAACCCTCCTAGTAATGATGTTCATTTAATGGCAAAGGAACTGAAAAAGATTTTCGAGAGGAAATGGAAAGAATTGGAGAAAAAATGGTCTTGTGAAGTTGAGCATGGAAAATGTGCAGTTGGAACTATGAAGGAAACTGTGAGAAAAAGTTGTAATGGGGGCTATCCCTGCAAAAGGAACTTTCTTCCATAAAGGTGCCTGAACAGAATGGTATTCAGAAGAGGAGCTCCTTTGCTGTAAGAGGGGATAAGGTAAGTGTTTTTTCCTACAAGGAAAAATGGATGTTGAAATGCTGAGTAATATGAGAAACTTCTGCTTTTGATGCTATATAATTGATGCTTTTGTCAGCTCTCTGTGTTTGTCACTGCATGTATTTGTTTGGGTAGGGTCACCTTAAGATGGTTTTTGTATTTTTGGCCACTATCACCTTTTGTGTGCCTCTTTTTTTGTATCTACGGAATACATTTTTTTAATTTGTACATCTTCAACCCATAGGCGGATGTTTTCAAGTCAGCACAGGTTCCTCGTAGATTAACTGCTAAAGGCATACTTGAAAGGTATGAAACTTTTGAGAGTTCAATTTGGACTTGTTTTTATATCTCTAAAATGGAGCTAATAGCTGTGGATTTTACAGGCAGCAAAGGTAAAAAATGGGACGCATATTTCTGGTTGTGCAAAAGCCTGTCCTTTGACTCCTGTCAGTCACAAATGTAATACATGTGGTGACATTTCTTGCCAATGTGTTCTTCCAAGCAACTCAACATGTGCATCTTCAGGTAGTTAGGCTGACAATCTTCTGGATGTGTCTGCTTGACTGAGTCAATTATTGCCTAATTGACATTTATATGCCTGCATTGGTTTAGATTTATCTTCTGAAGGATCAGAAGAAAGGGATCAACATGCATTTGGTGCTGATGCGATGAGACTGGTGTGGAAAACTTTCTTAACAATATCTTAAATGAAATTAGCTTAACTTTTTTATGTGAAAATCTTAGAATAAATGATATATCTAATCTTTGAAATATACATAACGTTTGCAGAGGAAGTCTGATCTGATTCTGATTGAGGTGAGAAGATTTTACTGTTTGTGATATGTCATTTTCTGCTTGTGTGTTACTTTCTTTCCTGATTTGGTATGTAAAATATATTGACATAATGAAAAGGGGTTGTAAGTGCTTTGGATAGTGAACATGTATGCTCTACTCAGCATACAACTTCAGCTACTGACTCGTCCACTGGAGAAGGTTAGCTGCTCCTCTGCTTTATTGCTTTAACTGACTTTGCTTTTGTGATGTGAATTAGTGTGGTGCTAACTACTAGCTGGTTTATTATGACTAGTGTGGAATGCTCCTGTTTGTGATGTTCAGCTGTCACCTAAAAAGGCTCTTCGTGCTGCAATGCTAAAAAGCCGCTTTGCAGAGACTATCTTAAAAGCACAACAAAAGACACTCCTTGACCATGTAAGGATGTTGAGTACAGAGTAATTATAAAGGTTACGGGCTTTGCTAACACCTTCTGCTGCTCTTTTTAGGTGACAAGGCTGATTTGCTGAAAGTGCAGCAAGAAAAGGAGAGATTGGAAAAGTTTGAGCGCGAAGGTGAATATAACACATCTCTTTATTACGTTGGAATTATTGATTTGATGGCATATAGTGTTTAGTATTCTTTGTCTAATTTTTATTGCATTTGCCTTATTTCCAACGTACTTTTCCTTTCTATGAAGGAGATTGCTTCCTTTGATGTATTTTCTCAAAATTATTTGTCACGGAACCAATTAATATGCGACCTTTCTCTAATTGAGCCGAAGGAGGTGATCCGGACATTTGGGTTATTACCTTTATAGCTGCAATAATTTTCCATTTCCATTGTATTTTTTTTTTCAGTGGGGCACCACTCGTTGTGTATCCCTCTCCATATGAGAATTTAGTTCTCATTTTTTATTCTGATAGAGACTCTGAAACTTGAAGGAGAGATTCTTGTTGGACTACAACTTTTTTTTTTCATGATAAGCTGTTTTGTTGGATTGCAAGTTTGCAACTGCTATTTCATGATTAGCTGGTTTTGCATGACAGAGAGAGCTAGGATTGAGGCTCAAATCAGAAGTGTTGAAGCTGCTACGAAAAAGAGGGCTGAGGAAGAGTCCAAGCAACGAAGAGAAAACAAAAGAGAAGCTGCCCGAGTTATGATAGACAAGGTCTCCCCCCCCCCCCCAAGACAACCCAAAAAAAAAAAAAACTTTAATATTTCTAGCTCTAGAATCTTGATCCTGGGAAAGCTGAAGTTTAAATCCATTGTGTGCTCATTGTAGGTGGAAAAAACTACGGAGTTTAACTCGGACAGTTTTAAGGAACTTGAAATGTTTAAGCGGGTGTGCTCTATCATATCGTGTTCGGAGACAGGTAATTGGATCAGATAGATTCCAGCGGGGAAGCCCCTTGGAACGTTGGGTTTGTTCTTGAAGAATGTAGTACATGGCTGATGAAGATGAGGATGTTCTGAACGGAGGTTGGGAAGAAGGGGAAATTCTTTGAAACGCCTTTTTTGCTGTTCTTCCTGCTCTTGTTAATACATTTTTGCCCAGGGGAACAGACGAAATTGCTGTAAATGCGTATCTATTCTGAAATGAAAGAGCTGCCTACATTTTATCACGGCCTCGGTCTTTTATTTCTTCCTCTCTTTGGGCCACCAGTCCTATATTTCTTATATGTACAGGTTATGTTCTTGATGCCCAAATCTTGTCCGCGCTTTGATTTGTTTCTTCCTTTTCGTGGTATTTATAATTATTCTTATTTTAATTTGTTTTAAATAAAGTGCAATTGTTTTTGTTAAATCTCTTTGGGTTAGCAGTATTTCCGTGTGTTTAGATTTCTTTGTGCAACGGCCGAGACTGCGCATCTTGTACTCAGGTTGTGAATAAAGCAGATTAATCAGTTCGACAAAAGTTTATGGCCACATCATATTGTTCCCATAAGGACATGTTTAGATGACATGTCGGAAACATGATTTTATTATTTTAGAGCAAATTGGACAGATCGGCACAGGCATGATGAAATCACATCTGCCACTTGTTATCAAACGTATCCCATTCAAATCGATTATGAGCAACGCGTGTTTCTTGGCAAAAATCAATTCTGCATTCGGAAGCCATTATAGGTCTACTTTCAGAGAATAAATCCGGCAGCTACATGCTACCGGCTTCACCGATACAACAAAGTGTAAATTGTTCTACAATAGCTGACTCGAAAAACATGACATAGTTCATACAGTGTATTTATTTTTGGCACCTCTGTCATGCTTAGCATCCTCCTGTTGAAATAGCAAGACATCAAAAATTCATTAGCCTCCAGATCAAGAGGGGCACAAACAGAAGCAAAATAGTTGGCAGACTTTCTTACATGAAATATAAATCCAATGGTTCCATTATAATCAAGAAATTCCTTCCACTGTTTTCCAATATTTACCTGTAACAAGAAAAAAAATCAACTATACATATACACACAATCAGAATTTCCTTGTACTATTGTTACTTCTAAGCATTTTAACAGTAAGATTCTGTATAAAACAAAAAACAACAGTATCGCAGGTATCTTCCTTAGTCGGGAGCTATGTTGCCACCAGTGGGTGTCGCTCATTTCCTCCATTGATGCACATTTCACACATAGCATCAGATGAGATGCATGACACAATCCTAACTTTGCCATCCTCTTAACAAGTACCGCTCTTGGAATATAATATATGATATTGATAACTATTTCACAGTTCTCAAATATTTCCTAAAACATTTCCCTATATGCTCTATAATAATGATAATTGAAATTCAATTCATCATATTTTAAAAAAAATAATAAATGAAGTAGGAGTATAATTGAAAAAATAATTGTAAAAAACTATTTAATATCCTATATCTTGAACCAAACAAGCTTATAAAAAATGCCTTATATGGTGGTCCGGAGAGATTAAATACAACAAAACTACTGTTCACAACTGATAATGAAAATCATCATCTAGTAAATTTGGACAGAAATTTTGCTCTCCCCACGAGAAAATAGACAAACTTTTCAACACCCGAAAAAGTCAGAAAATGTTACCTGAGCTGCTTCATCAGAAGCATTCTTGGTCCAAATAGAAACTCTATCTTGCTTGCCTCTAACATTTACTACCGCTCCACAAATTTCATCTCCATGATCAAATTGTTCGCCAATCATTGCCAGCAACTGGAGTTAGCGTGACAGAATGTTAGTTCATCACGAAGCATTCTCTAAAATTAGTCAATGTTTAAATAAATTAGTCCTTCAACGTTTATATATCATAAATTCTAAACCATACCGTATACAACCAACAGGTATCAGATTTCCCCTTGGAAAATGTGACAGTCCATTTCCTCCATTAGCACAGACAGGGTCCTCCCATTTTGGCTCAATTTTATCTTTGAAACAATAAAAATCTGCTCCTACAGCCAGCTTGCTAGGACGATGTATGTTGTTGTAAACACTGAATGAACATTTGTAGCAACAATAATCAAACAGTAGAAGTAACTATGAAGTTTAAGGTTGTAAAGAAAACTGCTTAAGAAAAACTAAATAAACTCTGCCCTTTGAAATTGAAGCAGATTAAAGAAAACTCTATAAAGCTAAACCATAGGCTTTAACAATACAGTTCAGCACTTCCTCAAGGGCAAATAGTGTAAATAGCATGGTTTGTGTCCATCAACATAAAATATGGCGTTTAAGATTGAAAACATAAAACTGCAGCAGTTATAATTGACAGTTCGCATGAAAAATTACAAACAGATCAAGCAGTGTTCAAAGCCAGTGACTTCAAAAGTTTACATGGATTAATGTGATATTGTGGTGATGCAATATCTATAAACACAATCAATATTAGCTGTAGCCTAAATCTACAGGTTTATATTAACAAACGTCATGGTACATGTGACCAGAAACATGTAAAAGATAGAAAAGGCAAGATAATCAGAGTTAAGGGCCCAGGACAAATCTTCAAGAAACATGTTATGTTGTAATGTACTGATAAGTTCTGAGAGGTTATCACAAAAGCATTTTAAGATAATTATGGTCTGTAAAATTTAAACCCATCCAGCATTTCCAACCCTTTTGTGTCAACAATGCAAGTTGTCATAAAAAATGGAAAACAAATGATGACTTTATTGGCATCTTCATGTGGCATCTAGAATGCAATGAAGCATTTGAGATGTTTGTTCTAGGTAAAGAGATATCTACGAGGTTAATTTATAGGTTGCCATCATTTCCAGGCATCTTCATCACCAACACCCCCCCCAAAAAAAAAAATTAAAAAACCAAAAAGAAGGCATTAAAATTGTGCATATCCTGATTATTCCATTCTGTCAGCTTTGATTGCTTTTAGCTGCCAAGCTAACCATGTGAATCTAAAATTCCATGTATTATCGTTTCATTTCCAATCCCCTAGCCATTCCCTACCCAAAAAATAAGAAATGGAAGGAATCTGAAGAGAAGCAAACTGCATCATTTCAACCCAAGACTAAAGAGAAGGGGGGGGGAAAGGACATTTTGATTCCAAGGAAGGAACAAAGCACAAACCATGCCACCAAATATTAATACAACATTCTATCCATGAGTCACCCGAAAGACTTTGCACCCATGGCCACAAGCATTTTTTTCATCAATTACACAAATAAGAAAAAAAAAACTAAGGTCCATAGTACAGGGAAAATCCCCGAAACTCATTGGCAAATAACTCTGCACCTTTAGAACTTTAAATAGGCCTAGATTATGTGTAAATAATTGCTTGGCGTTAGTGACTCCATTGTTTCACTATCTTGTGACATATTATGAAGTTAACCGCACATGACTTAAAACTCTAGAGATTAATGGACAAAAAATAGTTTGGGGGCCATCTTATCATATGTATCATCAAAAAATTAACAGATATCCTCGTGGCGGAGATTATCTGCACAAAATCTGGAGGTTGGGGAATCAGTAAGTGCTTTAGGGTCAAGTTAACTACACAAATCATCTACATAACTCGAAAGTTCCAGAAGTCATGTGTTTTTCGACCAAGGAAATGAGTTCCTTGTTGCTCCAGGTTGTCTATCTCACAAACCTCAACACTATTAACAATCTGATGCACTAAAACTCTTCACCCACGATTAATGTCAGCCAACTCAGAAAGAACCAGACATAAAAACTCAAATCATCCAACCAACTAAAACTAATGTCCCAAGAAGCACTTTTCTGCATTATAAAACATTTTAACTGAATTTCACAGCTCCAATAAAATAATTAACTACTTTTAAAATGATACTATCTTTTCATATTTACTTTTATTAAAGATCCTATAAAGTTCTTATCAAGAACACTTAAAAAATTAATTACACTTCGAATAAAAATATTTTATATTTTTTAACATGTAACCCACAAAGAATGCCTTTAAATTTTTTAGTAGAAGGAGTATGTGATATCAACTTCCTCAGTAGCCAAACAAACAAAATCCACATGTAATAAAGAAAAAAGACAGGAAAATGACCTTACCCAAAGAGGAAAAAAAAGGATAGGGGGACGGCCAAAAAAAGGAAAAAAAGCCTGACCTCCAAAACTCCTCAACAGTACTGAAGGTATAGATGCGTCGAATAGAACTTCCCCAAGCGGTTTGCTTGGACTTGGCAGAGGGATTATCAAACCAAAAGGTCAAGAATTCTCAAGCGGATGATGCTGATGCACGACGGCGGAAGATGCCTTTGAAGTACTTGAGTCCTCTTCTCCGACGATCTCTCCCTCCTCGAGCTCATCCTCGTCGGAGTCACGAGCCCTGGGTTAGGGTTTGTACCACTGGTACCGATCTGATCGTCGGTAATAGTAGAATTTGGCGTATCTTCTGCAGCCATTTTCCCTTGTTTTCTTGGTGCAAGATTATGACTCTCTCCCCTCTGCCTCTTTCTTGAAGCAGATGAAATGCTTAAGGGCACATTCTGATAATTAGGTTCGGAAGTATTATTGGTCTGGGCTGGGTTCCTTTTTGGCCCAATGAAATTTTTGGGCTAATTTTAATTGGGCTGAAACTCTGTAGTCCTTTAATCAGGTCCATTAAATATTTAAATCTACCCACATCTTTTTTTTTTTTTAAATGTTCATGTGGAACCAAGGTTGGTCCGGTTGATAAAAATTTGATCCATAATTTATAAAGTTGTAAAATTAAATCTCACTATCAATATGAAATTTTATTGATAAATAATTTATAAGTACATCTACAAGCGTTTTTTAAACTTAAATACATGTCTTAACTTTGATGAGCAGTGAAGTTACCAACAATTGTTGTCTTAGTGAAAACAGTAATGATTGCTTAAACATGAGGTTTCAAGTTTGAGTGTGCTAATGCAAAAAATATATTTGAAAAAGTTAGCTCCAATTAACCGACAATGCTTAAATACTTAATCAGATATCATGTGGGTTGTATTTCCTTCATCTTTTTTTAATAAAAATTGTTCTTAACTTTATGAAGCGATAGATATAGTGTTTGAGATTCATTTGAATGAAAAAGTGGGAAATATATGATAAAAAGTATAATATTTATCGAAGATGATTGTGTTGAATTGTAGTTAGGCATATTGTTCATTTATGTAATATTTTAAGTTTACCATTTAAAGTTTAAGCTTAGGATGTTTCCTCAAGTTTGAATCCAGGCTTAAGGTTATTATGAATCATGAGAACGAATGGAGCTGAATAGGAACAATGGAATGGAATACTTTTTTGTTTGAAGCTTTCACATATATTTTTTAATCATTTAAATTTGCAGTATAAGTTTTTAAATAGTTCTTTTAAACATTTCCTCCCATTTGTATGAAGATATCGAATTTGTATGATATAATTATTGTCACCTTCGTGACTTGACTGTGCGAGGAGACATATTTGTCCATAAAAAGTAGAAAGATATAGAAAGCCTTGATCTATCTATAATAATTGATATCGAGATAAATATTCAGTTGAAGTTATATTTATTTGAGAAATAAGATAATGGAAATTTCACTTCTCAGTACTTTATCAATCATGTTACCATGTGTATTATTTAAATTAAGCTTGATATTACTTTGGGTTTGATTTGGATAATAAATAGTGTTTAAAATTATTTGAAAAAATCACATGTTTAGGCATCTAATTATAGTTTAATTTGGGCTTAAAATGATATATTTAAATTGTAAAGGGTCCAAATTAGATATCGGGCCAGACTGGACCCAAATAGTCAGGCTTATGTAAGGTGCAATGTTTCGCATTATCTGTCAAGGTGCATGATGCTTCTGCTGCAACCGACGACGCAAAATCTGCATTGATGAGTCTGTTCGCAACAGACTTGAAGAGGAGAGAAATTGGGAGAGTTTGGTGTGGTTTTTTAATGGCTTTACTGAGATTTGGAGTTCCTAACCCTGGAGCACGATTATAGGGCTACAGTTGCTCAAGGCAACTCATCTAAGCATTTTCCTGCACACACTCACTTTTTTAAGCTTCTTTAAACTATGGTTAGCATTGGGATTCCATTTTTAGAGTTAACTAGCCCTTAGATTTAAACTATGAGTGTTTTGAAATTAAATGGGTATTACTTAGGTTATTTTGATGTTAATAAATATGGTAGGATGACTATATTTGAAACCCTAAACATTGTGATTTTTAGTGATGATTTCGGTATGCAAAAGTTAAATAAGTAATTAATTAGTATAATGAAGATTTTGAATTTGTTTGGGGGTTTAAATGGCTCATGGTAAGTATTTAATGAATAAAGTTCATTTGTGAAGCCATATAGTCTGAAAAAAATCAGTGCAAAATTTTGAAGTGTTGCATGCATAGCTATGCTACATATTTTACAAGAATTTATAATTATAATTTCTATTTTGAAAGCAAGCTTGCGCGTTTGATTCAACGAAAATATCATTAATCCTGCGATGATGTGGAATTTAAACAAAAACAAAAAAAGATTACATGATGACACCATGATATATAGAGGTTCGGATTCAAAAATTGAATCCTACATCCTCACCCCAGGCATGAATGAAGCCTGGGAATTTAATAAGTAACGAGTAATCATAACACAATACACAATTTACAGGTCTTGAAATCATTAAAAAGATAATTAAATGCTCGAGTATCAAGAAGAACACTTCAAGAAAATCAGAAAATTAATGAAGAAGATATGGACCAGATCAGATTTCAATGAGCTTTTCTTCTTGGTACAGATTCAAGACTGCAAATCCCTTCCTATCTTTTTGGCTGGTGCTACATTTTAAACAAACCCCATAATTAATAAGAATATTTAACCAAGCAGATTACGAGAGAACGAAGAAATCAAAAGCTTTTTGGTTGAGTTCAAACCTTATTAGAAATATATGAAGGATCTTAGTTACAAAATTAAACATTGTGAAGAAGCAGCAGCACTGTGTTGCTTTTATGAATCAGAACTAGCTCGCATCTGTTGGACACTACCTGCAACAAACCCATTAATTGATAAGAAAAGATCAAAATAGAAAGGATAAAAAAAAAATACATAAAGAAACTTGTCAAAATGTACCTTCAATATGATTGAATAATGTGGAGCATCTCTGCATAATTTTGAGACCAAAAGGATTACTTCACCAATCCTTAAAGTGATGGAATTGTAAATAAAAAGGACCTTGTAAACGTGTTATATCTTTTTATTTTTCTGCGTAGGAGGAGCAATAAGTGGCAAAATAAAAAAATTAATGCTTTGACCTACATCAAAATATATATATTTTGCCAGCTATGTTCTCAAATATTGCCAGCAATAAGATTATTACCTGAATTTAATTCATGAAGTTGCAAGTTTATAAACGTGTTATATCTTTTGTTTTTTTCTGTACGGTGAGCAATGAGTAGCTAAATTAATGAATTAATATGCTTTGAGCCAGATCACACACAACAACAACAACAACAACAACAAGCCTTTATCCCACTAGGTGGGGTCAGCTACATGGATTGCAAGACGCCATTGTGCTCTATCATTTATCAAGCTTTTAGGAATATTATTAATTAAGAGATCGTGCTTAACAACTTCCAAGAGTGTTCTCTTAAGCCTTCCTCTACCTCTCTTAATCGGACTCAAAGTTATATGTTCACTCTTCTCACTAGTGCCTCCCTTGGTCTTCTTTGTACATGCCCAAACTATCTCAATCGATTTTCTACCATTTTTTTCTCAATAGGTGCCACCCTCACTTTTTCGCGAACATGCTCATTTCGAATTTTATCTTTACGTGTATGTCCGCACATCCATCGTAACACATTCATCTCTGCTACTCCAACTTTATGCTCTTGCTGTCCCGTTAGAGCCCAGCATTCACTACTATATAACATTGCCGGTCTGATAGCAGTGCGATAAAACTTTCCTTTAAGTTTATTAGACACCTAACGGTCGCAAATAACTCCTTTAACTTTTCTCCAATTAAACCACCCAGCTTGAATTCTATGTGAAATATCTCCACTGATTTCGCCATCATTTTGAATAATGGCTCCCAAATATCTAAACTTTTTCACTTGAGGTATAATTTGATCTCCCAATTTCACTTCCAAATTATTGAACATTTGCTACACACACACATAAATATATAAATATAAATATATTTGCTAGTTATGTTATTGAACATTTACAATAATTTAAAAGAAACACGAGATTGTTACCTCAATTTAATTCATGAAGTTGCAAATTATGATACTTAGGTTAGTTCTTAAAATGTGTACTTATATATAGTCATTTAATTTCATTTGGAAAATAATAAAAACAGAGTATAAAGTCAGTATAAATATATATATACACATACACAACATATTAAATTATTAAAAAACGATCATATCCTAGAAGTTAAACAAGGAACGAGACAGTGACGTGGGAAAAAATCTTCCAACCAATAAATACCATGCGGATGATTAAGGATTTTCATAAAACTCGAAAGTAAAGTTGCATCAATTGGGACAAGGGAGTGAGAATAAGTACCTTGTGGATAATTGTATCTCATATCAGGAATTCATAAATCAAAAAAATTGGATGAGTGGGATGTGGGATATGCGGCGCATAAGATCTTCATCCTTCTTGTGGTATTTTTCTTCCAACAAACGACAACTCTCAATGCAAAGCTTTCTTAAGAAGAAGGCAGCTTTTCTCCAGACATTTTCTCCAGCTTGAAACAAAATATGATGTTGAGTTGTTGGAGAGAGGTTAGGTGCTCAAGTCCTGTGCAATCCAACGTCTCCAAGTGGAAGTTGTACTCGAGCTCCAGAGTGATGAGAGTGGTAGGAAGAGAGAAGCCCTCCGGGAAACACTTGACATTTGAACCACGAATAAGAAGGTAAGTAATATTAGTTAGGAGGTGCCACTCTGCTTGATGGGATAATAGCCTGCCACAGTATTGAATATAAAGTTCCCTCAAACTTGGCACAAGGATCCCTTCTGGAAATGATTCCATCTCTTGACAACAATCTATCCATAGCTTTTTTAAATTTGGGAGAAGACCTTCCATGTCATCCGACATAAACTTCACAATATTACAATTCCGCCTAATAGTTATAGATTGGAGATTTTGTAGAGGAGCAGTTGAACTCAACACAAAATTGACATTCTGACAATTATTTATCTCTAACCGCTGTAGCGATGGGGGCAAATGAATCATTTGATGTGATGTATTGGAGCACTCGCAGATACTTAATCGTTGAAGATGCAAATGTTTAGAGAGTGCCTCCAACATTGATTCCAACATCCCACATCCTGTAATTCCTAGCCTCCTAAGGGAAGGAGGTAACTCTTGCTCTTGCCACCCCACACTTCTGCATCCATCTATCCCTAAATCCATAATTTCAGGACACCTCGGAATAGAAGAAGCCAGCAATGGACAATATCCCATCTGCAAGGTTTTTAGAGAAAGCAACTGGCTAGGTAAATTCCAACTAATTCGGGGCAACACCATATACCGAGATATCGGAGTTTAGGGAAAGCTTCCATGCCAATGGAATGCCATTCTTTCCACGAAGCCATCCTATTAAAATTAAGACATTCAAGAGATGGAAATGGTATCATGGGAGCACATTCACTGGCCTTCAACGACTCTTCGCCAATCTTCTCAATAGTTTCTAATCCTTCAATATATAATGTCTTCAGAGCCGGGAGCTGCCTAAGGGGGGGAAGCATGCAACAGTTTTTGCAATTATCCAGTCGCAACCAAGTCATGTTGTGGTAGCGAGGACTCCCCAACCAATCCGGAAATGTTGTGCCCCTATAACTCTTTATTTCCAATTCTTCTAAACCCCAATGAGGTTGAAGCTTGTCCAAAATATCTCTCTCTGTTGTTGTATCTTCCACATCCCCATACTTGACCATGATAGTGTTAGATCCTTAATGGCTTCTTCTCCATCATTCTCGCTTCACAGGCTTCGTTTCCATTCTTGACATTCTCTAATTTATTAATAGTAATCCAACCTCTAAATTTGGCATTTCTCCTAATTCTCCCATATCGATCCCTTGCTCTTTTCCAACAACAAATTCACTCAAAAGTTGCAAATTTTTTAACTTGCCCAATCCCCTCGGCATTTCTTTCAACCCAGTGTTTCTAACATCAAGATGCCGCAAGTTTACAAGATCTTGTGTATCACTTGGCAACATCTGCAGACTCTGACAATATTCTAACTTCAATGTTTGTAGATTGTATAATTTGCACAATGAGTTAGGCAAACTTGCAATCTTTCTTGACCGGGACAAATCCAAATGGCGAAGATTTGCAAGATCTTGAATCTCATTTGGGAGCATCTCAAGAAACCAGCAAAAACGCAACATCAACGTTTGTAAATTTATACATCTTACATATTGACCCAGGCAAGCTTTCAATACTTGTTCTTGATAGATCCAAATAGCGCAAATGGATGAAGTCCCCAATAGACTCAGGAACTACACTTAACGCACCTAGATCTTTAAGTGACAACATTCGCAAGAACTTCACATCTGATAGAGAATATGAGAAACATTTCCAACAAATTGAGAGAGACACAAAATTCCAATCCTATAAATGTTCGTAAGGATTTTATTTTTTTGAAAAACTCATGGGTCTAAGCATGCATAATTCTGATAGTTGCATGACAAATGGCGTGTCTTCTTATCAATTTTGTTTCCATTCTTCTCTAACCGAAAGTAAAAGTCTCCAGCAACATGAGTCGCTAAGTCATGAATGAGATCATGCATGACGAATAACCCATCTCTTCTTTCATGTCAAGTCTAAATGCCTATAATTATTTGGAGAGGTTTGAAAAAATGACCTCGAAGTTAAATCATCAAAGTACCTGTAACCAACTTCTTCTAAAGTCATGTTCCCTTTTGGCAGTTGCAAAAAGCCCTCCGCCATCCACATCAAGATTAATTCCTCCTTACGAAACTGATAATCCTCTGGGAACAAAGAACAAAAAGCAAAGCATTGTTTTAAATGGGGGAGGAGATAATAATAACTAACTTTTAAGGCTGGAATGATCTCATTGCTGTCCGATGAATCCCACATGGCATCTTTCAGTATTTTATTCCAGTCTTCAAAGTCAGGCTTTGATCGGAAAAGTCCCCCAAGTACTTTTGCAGCTAAAGGCAATCCCTTACACTTGCTAGCAACATCGCTTCTGATTTCTTCTAAGTAAGAATTCACGGTTGAATCTCTAGAATGGAAAGCGTGTGCAGCAAAAATTGACAAACAATCTTCATCAGACAAGACATTTAAACAATAAATTGATGAGATAGTTTTAACCATCAAAGCAACATGCTTTAGGCGAGTTGTAACAAGAATTTTACATCCTTCCACTCCCTTGTGAAACAAATCTGTCAAAGCAACGCAGTCAGTGTATTTGTCATTCCAGACATCGTCAAGAACAATTAAAAACCTCTTTCTTTCTAACTTTTCCGCCAAATGATGTCGAAGAATTTAAATCCATATTATCACAAGCAAAATCAGGACAGATAGATTTAATTATAGACTGTGCTATTTTCAAATGATCAAATGTTCAGAAACGCAAGCCCAAGCAGTGAGATCAAATTTTCGCTTCACATCATTATCATTATAAACTAGCTGGACTAAGGTGGTCTTCCCAAGCCCGCCCATGCCACGACAGGGATCACAGACAACTGGCCACCGTCATCATTATTGAACATAAGCTTAATGATATCTTGTTTTTCTTTCTCTCTTCCATAAACATCAGAGACATTCACATGCGACGTAACTGGAGACCTCCATAACAAAGTTTCTTTTCCACTTGTCTCCTTCAAATGAAGGCCATCTTTGAGTGCCACAATATGTTCAATTCTATCAGATATAGCTTCTAACTTATTTGCCAGGCTCGTATCACGCAAACCAAGAGAAGCAAAGGACAAATAGTGCACCTTCTTCTGAGTGGCAGCTCGTGTGGAAATCTCATCCATCAAGTCTTCCAGGTCATAAGCAGCATCTTTGAGTTCATCAAGCCAATCTTGACAGAAGAATCGGTGAGTTGTTTGAGTTCAGCATCATTGAGCACGGCTCTTGCAGCAATCAGGGATGGCTTCAAACGTTGAAGGAGCTTGTGGTCGAGCTTCTTTCACAAATCGAGTTGATCAAGTCAGCTTGGAGAGGGGTTAACCTCTCCAGAAGCACATTGAAGACAGCAGAAAGAAGTGCATCGGCCATGATCACTTTGGAAATGAGTGATATTGCTCAAAAACAGTGAGAATGCTCGGAAAGTTGAACAGCAGAGAAGACGTTGCAGGTGGGCTTGCTCTGAAGGATTGGAAAGGCAGTGGAAGATGATGTTGTGCATTACTGAAACGTTAAGTATTTGTAAAATAACATTAAAAATTAATTTTTTTTAGCCGTTACTGAACCTCTGCTGTGAAGCTTTGCCTCCGTTCCGTCATTTGAATGAATTTCATTGGGAAAAAAAAAAGGGAAAATTGGTAATTAAATTGGGACGAGGCAGACAGGGAGTACCCTTGGTCGATATAATACTGAAGAGGGAGGGGACAATAATAATCCGTGTGGGGATCACGTTGCTTTAGTTTAAAAGCCGGAACACACGTTGTGGAAATTAAAATGACATGGCATGGCATGGCATGAACAACGAAGTCATAACTTGTAATTGCAAATCCAGAGAATCCAAACCGGTTAGTGAGATTGCCAAGGCATTCTAGGAGAGGGTCACTTTTACAATAATGACCTTAAAAATAATTAAAGATATAATGAATATAAAAGTGTTAATCATTTCCTTCGCCCCTTCATCTTCTCCAGCGAAACTTTGAATATAATAAGTGTTAATTATTATTTATTTATTTATTTATGATTTTTTTCTATTTTAAATTATGTTTAAGTAGTTTATTTTGGTTTGAATTGAATATTTATAATTTTTTTTATTAGATATGGTATCCATCAAAATTAAAATCTTTCGATAAAAAAGATGAATCAAACACTTGTTTGGCAAAAAAAAAAACACTTTCACGTGTTCATGAAAATATTATATAAAATTAATTACAAAATTTACGTAATTAGATTATGTCTTTTGAATAAATATATAGTACATATATATAAAGTTAATAAAAAATGTAAAATTGTATTAAATAATTTTTTATTTTTTGACCAAAAGTATTACTTAAATTTTTTAAAATTTTAAACTCTTTTTTATTTTGAGAAAAATAATCATTCATTAATACTTTTAACATTCAAGAGTTAACATATAATGGATCAACCTCGAATAAAAAAACTGGAAAGACTTCATTGAAATTAAAAAAATTATAAATAAACCACAAATTAATTATTGCTTTGTTAAATTCATAAATAAACTTGTTATTTAAGTAAGTTTTACATTATTCAACTCGTGGTTAACTGAAGTTAAAATTCTGTAATTAATTTTTCTTCCCCTTTGCTCATCCATATTTTTTTATCAAAGATCTTTAAGTTGAATAATTATCCAATTTTTTTAAAATTGAATTCAGTACAGTCTTTCTTTCCCGCCCCTCCTGCCAAGCCAAACCATGGTTATTGGCAATCAGGTGTGCGTTAGTACTCATTGTTGTGATGAGGCCTAATTATTTTATTTTATTTAACAATGAGAGAGATCCAGGTTGATTTATCATAGAGAGAAAGGACCACTTATGCTCAGACTAAAAATAAAAAACTGTTAAAAGTATAAAATAATTTCATATTTAGATTTGGCGCTGAGACTAAATCCTTGAGTGCTTAATTGCTTGGACGGTGACAAGACGCTGGACGTGAAATGGTAGATTTATCATATGACGCAGTCTCTGACCATCTGTGCTATGCACGGTCTCATTGCGGAAATTGGGCCACAAAAGATAAAAGGTAGGGGAAAAGAAAATAATAAAAGACGCGTGGAAATGATTGTAAAGGGATTTTAACGTAATCTCATTTTTAATAAAATAATTACATAACTTAAATTAATATTAACTTTTTAAATTTATCTCAATTTTAAAAATATTTTATTTTAAATTAATATAAAATAATTTATTCATTATGAGTACTTTTTAAAAAAACATAATAATTATATTTTAAAATATTAAAAATATTTTATATTTTAATATAAAATCTCTAAAGAAAGGGGTGCTTCTCATCCCAAATTATATGGCAATGTTGGAGAAATTTTATTATTTTAAAATATAAAATAATTTAAATAAAAGTAAAATTTTATTAATATATTTTTTAAATATTATTCTACAACAGAATAGAGAATTGAAATAATTGTACTTTTAAAATTATATTAAATGAATAATATTTTTAAAAGTTTATCTCTCTTCAATCTAAATTATAAGACAATGTTTAAAAAAAATTATCAAAAAATATGAGATAATTTAGAAAAAACTAAAATTTTATTAATAATAATTTTTTTAGCATTACCCTTGAGTAGAGAAAGATTTGAAGTAATATTGTAACGATTAACAGTATAAGGATATTCTTAAGAGTTTACAGTTTTATTTTGAAGAAATAAGTTGCCAAAGTATCGTTATTATATTTTATTGATACAAATAATATTTTCTCAGACTCTCTTATAACTGTGGACGGAGAAAGTATTTTTTTTTTGAAAATAAGTTTATAAAATATTATTATTACGTTTTTATAGATATGTGTAATGTTATTTTAAATTATCTATAATTTAGTATAGAGGGGTACTTTTTTTATAAAAAATTATCATTAACAGTATTTTAAGGTGTTTACCCAGGTTATAACTTAATCTTCCATATTAATACAATGATATTTTTAACTTTATTCAAAAAATTTTATTTTGTTAAAAAAAGTAATTGGAAAGAGTGAGATTGTATTTAGAGCACGGTTTTTTTCGTAGCAAAAATATTTTTTTTCACACATATTTCTTGAAGAGTGGAATGATAGATAGGTTATAAGGGATCAATTAATTTAAAGTAGATTGTAAATGCTAAATTTCAAGAATTTAAAGCTTGATTTTTAATTTTGTAACTTCATTGTTATGAATTTTATAATTTATATTTTAAATTTTAATAAAAAATAAATTTATTTATCCTTCAATCGTATTAAAATTTAAAAAATATATTATAAATATTATAATAAAATTATAAAATTAAAAGATGAATTTGTAAATTTTAAAATTTAACATTTTGAGCTTAATTTAAATTATTTAATTCTCTCAAGATTCATCTATCATTCTTCCTTTATCCAAATGTACTGAAGAGTTAAATTATATGAATAAAAAAAGGTGAAGAGACATTCTGGAGAGTTTGAACTTGACGAAAAATAGGACAATAATTTATCGTTAAAAGAAAAGGCAGGACGATAATTCATTCGTGGGACCGATCACTTTGCTTTGGGTAAGGTTCAATCTTCAATGCCACTCCCGATTGAAGAAACGTGCTTCACACGTCATGGGAATGATAAGATCCAATTAATCTTTAGTGAGAATGACAAAAACCTACTTTTGAAATACTTAAACGATAATTAAGAACGGTCAAATGTAATAATTGAAAAGAACTTGGTTTTCAATTAATTTTGATGTGACCCCTGCAGAAATAAAATTACCTTAAAATAATTACTCGTATGCATAATTTCATCAAAAATTTTCTTATAAATGACAACTAAATTGGGACGAGGGAGTACCTTAAAAATAATTACTAGTATGTATAAGTTATTGTACTGTAAAAAAAATACAAATATCTATTATTAAAAGTTGAAATATTATTGTTAAAAGTTAAACCTTAATATTTATGTTTTTATTGGATTAATTTATAAACTTTTATTAATACCTTAAATGTCATTGTTCCTTGGTTAAATGCCCCTGTGAAAATTAAAATGACATGACCTGATATAAACAAAGCAAGTTGTAACTAGGAATTGCATATCCAGAGAATCCTAGGCAGGCAGTTAGATCACCCAAGTGCATACTCAGAGGACACTTTTACATCAATAACCTTAAAAATAATTAAAGATATTATAAATATCAAAAGAGGGTTCATTTTTTTCACCTCTTCATCTTCCCACGTAAAACTTCCATTATAATAAGTGTTAATTATTCTTTATTTATTATTGTCATTCATATAATCCTTAATATAACATTATATCTATAAATAAGTATGTTATATTGTATTATAAAATATAATATTTTATAACAAATTTTCTCATTCTCATCTCTATTTCTTCTCCATATGTCTCATTTTTTTAATTGGTTAATTTCATAACAAAAGACAAATATAACATTAGTTATTTTTTAATTTTTTTCCCAAAAGTTATTTTTTAATATAACTCTTTCATTTTTCATGAATAGAATAAAAGATTTTAATCACATTAGTTAAAGGCCTCAACACGCGGAGTTGGGTTTTTAGAAATTAAAATTGAAAATCACAAGACATGACATGAAGTAGTAATTTGCATATTCAGAGGGCGGACCTAAATTTTTATTAAGACAAAATATGTTCTCCTCCATTTAAATATATAAAATAATTTTTAAAAAATTAAATATTTAAAAAATTTTTAATCTTTTAAGATATGGTTTTTAAATATCCTCATTGATAATGACTTTATATTTATTGTAGAGTATTTAATAGAAATAAATATAAAAAAATAGGTTAATTTAAAAATAAGTAACTACTTTTTTGGGTTGAATTTTGGGTTAAAAATGATTTAATTTTTTAAATGAAAGAGTATATAATAATTAAAGCAAACTTAAATTTTTATATATTAACAGCCTAATATAAAAATTCAATATATATATATATATATATAATTTATCAATGTTCCAAATTAAAATTCATATGTATTTAAATTAGTATAATATTATTTTTTTGTCTCTCTCTTACTTTTTAAGAATAATTTAAAAATTTTAATTAAAAATAAAATAATTTATTAATTAAATAACTTATAAAGTGAATTAGATTGTGCTTCTAAAAAAAAGCCTAATATACAAGATTGGAGGGAATAAATGTATTTATTGAATTTTACTTGTATGCATAATTTTATCTAAAGTTTTCTTATAAATGGTACTTTTCCCATCTTAAATTATAAGAAAATTTAAAACAAAATTATAAATATCAATAAAATGTAATAATAATATTTTATAAATTTATTTTTTCAAAACAAAACTATTAATTGTAAAATGTATATATACACATAATTATTATATTAGAATATTATGTTAATTTTTTCCCATTTAAAAG